GGAACCGCAGTTTCGTCTCCTTCGACGTTCTTTTTCACTTTTAATTAGCTGTGCAGTCGATAAAAATGCGCTGAAAATGAAGCGAAACGACTCCGGCCAACAACAATAACAAAGGGAACCGATCAGAAGCGGCGAAAGGGGATAAAATGTATAGATATAAGAGAATAGAGGGGGATCACATCGCTAAGCCGGCAAAATATTCGCACGCAGACAAGTCGAAGAAAGGAGAAGAGCGGGGTTTCTGGATGGCAGCAAAGGCAGAAATAGAAGTACAGTAACCACTGGCAAATGAAATACAAATAACGTATATAAAATATATAATTTTCAATTTGTTCAAATTTAATAGATTAATTAAAATAAATAGAGTAAATAATATAATTTAATAGATATCATTTCTTAAATTAATTTTGTTTTTGAATATATGACTTTTCCAAAAACAGCAATAACAAAATGTTCAAAAAAATATAGTTAAGTAAATAACCCGGCTAGAACTCGAAACCATGGCAATTTTTAAATCGATCAATAAAAAAATCCCTTTATTTTTCTGTACTTGCTTAAATTGCTTATTATTTTTGTTTACAAAACTACAATTTGTAAGAAATTCAAGAGTATTTTTTCCTGTTATATCAAAATGTGTTTTTTTAGCGATTGACCACTGTGCCCATCTTTAAAAGAGGGACAGATTTTAGCAGTGCCTTTGGCAATAGCAAAGGCGCTGGCGAAGTGATCGCGTCTGAATGGTTAGTACGTGATCGGCTCATAAAACTAAAAGCAGCCATAAACTGATAATATGAGAATTTATAAAAAAAGAGGAGGAAGATGCAGACATTGGCGTTCTATGGGTTTCGGTCGATTGATCGACTTGAGTAGCCAAAACACGGACAGGAAGCTCCGAACATCACTGATGATGATGATTATGAAGATGATGGTGATGGTGATGATAATAATAAATGGGATCTGTATGAATTCCAGGAAGCCAATCTAAGACACCCACGAACCCAAAACAAAATTAAATTAAGTTTAATTAGTTACTAATTAAAAGATAAAAGTATTTTTACTTTGTTATTATACTGAAGAAGGCATAAAAATGACTAAGCTCCCCTTAAATTGCACTGACTTTTACTACCTTCGTGGGATTTAAGCCCCTTTGAGGCAAAAATACCTTACACAAAAACTGTAAAACGTCCAAAGTTTGTTGACTAATCTCTTTGTGGCCCCAAAAGAATGTGTTTCGAATTTCATTGCTAAACTTGATCCGTGATCCCTGTTTATGTTCCAGTTAGGCGAGTGAGTTTCATGATTAAATTTTAATGCATTTTCGTTTTAAGGCGTTCCATTGTGCAAACTCTTTTGGACACAAGAACAAAACTGTGGAGCTGTTGCTTCTGGCAGATCGTAAAACGCTCACAGTTTCTTTTCCCCCGCTCGCTGTCGAGTTTAATGATCGTCGTCGAAGCTAATTAAAATATTTGGCCGAGACGATTGCTGCAGCGGAACTGGGCGGAGAATGCACACACAGAAATGAAATTCGTGTTAATTTTTTTACGGCCTCGATTTGCAATTTGCCATAATTAAGCATTAGCTGTTGTGGTGTGCCATAAATCGGGGCTGGAAGTACGGGCTGAGGAGTAGGGAATCGTTATCTGGCAGGTCAAGAGCGTTGGCGACCCAAGACGCCTACAAAAATTGAAAATTACCAACGCAACGAGATAGAGATACAGATACAGATGCACAGACACAGATACAGATACAGATACAGATAGAGATTCTTTTACAGGGTAGGAGGGCATCTGAAATCGCAGCCATGAATGAAATGCGTACTGAATGAAATGGGTCTGGGAATCTCACAATCTCTCGACTCATCGCCATGGCAAATTCGAGCTAAAAGACACAAAAAACAATGCTCTCCATCCCCATCCGCATTTATGATTATAGTTTTTGTTTAGCTGTGACATCCTCGGATTCGAAGTCGGATTCCCGTGTCTTTCGTCTGCATTTCAATCGTCGCAGGACCGGGGCATCGAATCAGGGTTGTGTCGCAGAGGCGTCGATAAAACCACAGGGGGTCATAAATTTTTCGAGCTTCTTGCGTTTTGTTTGCCTGAAAAAAATAATATCAATTGAAGTAGCCGCCGGCCGTCCTGCGTCCAAAGTTATCGCCAAAAAAATAAAGAATGTTTCACTGGGAGATACAAGTTCTGTTCTTTCTTTCAATATAACTTTTATTTTTTGTTTTCTGGTTGTATATTTTATATTGGTATGTGTCATGTAAGAGAGAAATTATCGGTGAAGGGTATTTCTGAAACGGGTATTGACATGACAACTTGAGCTGAAGGGTGACTTAAAATGAGATATTAAACCCCTTTAAGTTAGGGGATAATGGAAATATTATTTTATTATAGTATTAATATAAAAATAAAAGTTATGTTAATAATAATACAAATGTAATTGAATAATAAAACCAATGAAATTGAATTTAAAACGTTCAACTTCAATTTATTAAAATCAAAAATAACATGTTAAATTCTTAGCTTTTTATTTGTTTTTATTTTTACATTTTATAAAGATTTTTAAAGACTAATAAGATAAAGATTGTTTAAGAAATGTATTTAACATTTCTATATATTTTTCTATAAATATTATATTATTATATTTTAACTATTACATTTTTCTTGTTAATAAATATTATTTATTTTTAAATGTTGTTTTAAATTATAGGTAATTTTCAATTCTACCCTTGCATTATTTGTTCCATCTTTCCTGCTGCTATCGCATACGATTTAGTGTCGTCTTTGTTGCTTATCTGCGGTGGCTTTCTTTCAGCAGAAGACTCAGATCCACCTTTCAGGCTGTTTCTTTCTTCGCCCTTAGCCCCCTCTCCGGCTGTCTCTTTCTTTACGCCCAGCCCCGTCTCTCTCACTTACAAGTCGTCTTGGGAGCGTGTGTCATCACAGTTAAGTGGCGCGGCAAAGAGTTAATCTCGTCGATAATTATAATTTATGGCTCGCTGTGGGTTCACCTTCTTCAAAAATGCTCCAACTAAGTCTGGATGCAGTTCATTTTTTTCTTCATTTACTTCTCCTTATTTATTTGATTTTGTTTTGTGGCTTCTCTTGCGTCTTCGCAGTGCTTCATCATAATCACAATTTTAATAGGAGTTTCGGCATAAAGAAAAATCAACGCATTGAGTAGTTTTTTTTTCGTTTGTTGTTATTTCTTTTTTTTTTTTTTTTGCTGCCGTCAAACTGACAATATTTATGATTCAGATTGCTCATTGTAATTGATCATTGTCTGTGGCGATCATAAACTATGTGTTTTGGTGTACGGTGTAAAGTGTGTGTGTGTGTGCGTTTATGGTGCGCCCAATTATGTCAATCACAGTCATGGGCTACGGCTACTGCCACTTTTTTCGTTGACCAAACTCACCCACATAGATACTGGCGGGGCGGGCATTATATCTATATCGTAATTTATCAAATTGATAAGGCCCCTGAGAGATAGAGTCTCCGCGATGTCTGCATCTGGAGGTGGAATGATCAATGGCTGCCCTATGATCGCTGCTAGTCCTTAATCTCGGCCACATTAACTCAATTTGCGTGATAAATAATAAGCGCAGCTCAACAAATGTGCGCCCCGGCATTCGAGCAAATCGTCTGCCCAGCCACAATCATAATTTATCAGTTTTACCCATCGCACAGTGGGCGAAAATTGGGGATAAAAGGGTGCATAAATATAATCAAATAAATAAATAACTTATAAATAAGTTGTAACTTATTGTCAGCAAGATCCTTTGCAAGCGATAAGAGAAAGTATTTATTTAAATTCAGAACTCAACATAAATTTATACATAATATTTACCTAGTTTAAATGCTTCAAGTTAAAACTAAATGCTTTTAAACAGAACACCAAAAATATCATAAGTGCAATATTTTGAAGCCTAGAAAGAATGAATTTATTTAATATTTTTAACAAATTTCATAATCCCTTAAAAAAGAATATTATTGTAATTATTATTAAATAACACAAAGTACTTTAAATGCCTCCAAATTTATTTGATAAATATTATTTTTAAACGAGTTGTAAGCAATTTAACTTAGTTTTTTTAAATTGCATAGATCCCACATATTGTAGTGGTGTTTCTCATGAATTCAAAGCCTGGACAGAACGAATCTATTTAAAGACCCACTCTTAGCAACCACCACCTCCCATTTGGCTGGCCCACCTCCATTTCAATGTGGAATTCACATCCACTTCCACTTCCACTGCCACTGCCACCTCGACCCCAACCTCCTCCTCCACATCCATATTTAACCTCCTCCCGAGTGAAAACAGGCCCAGAGCACTTAATCATGCGAGTCTTGTTGCAGATTAACTCATTACTTAACACTTTTCCACCGACGATGAAGACGACGACTACTACGACGACTGACGGATGTTGATGAGCATAATTGTGTGGCCACAGCGTAAATCGGAATGGCCGGCTAAACGGGCGAGATGAAGACGACAACACCTACAAATCAGCAGCGGACTGGATTTGGATTGCTACACTTGGAAAAGTAAACTATTTACTTCTGCACTAGCCTTCCAAATAATTAAATAACATTATCTGAAATTTTAAATTGGAAACTAAAATATTGCTAAGAATGTTTTTTGGTAAATCAATACTTTGATTTACTACTTAACTTAATTTTTAATATTTTTCGCTTTGATTGTCATTCAATGCGATTATTAGTTATATTAAACATTGCAATATTCCAAGTTTTTCAATATTTCATTTAACTATTATCGAAATAGATTTTAATGTCAAAAATATGTAATTTAATTTAATTTTTTTTTACTACTCTATTACTTATCATTATATTTTTTGCCATTTCAAGAGATTTGCAAATCGTCTGACCAATTGAATAATATTTTTCATCAGTGTATCTGCCCCATGGGGGCGTGCCCATCGACATCGATTTGTACTGTTGCGTGCGTTGGAGAAAAATGTTTCAAAATTGATGTTCACCTTCTGCCATGTTTGCCAACCCTCCTTAAAAGTTGTGGGGCATGGGGATTCCTCCTAATGACTGGAAAAATGTTTTGTTGTATTTGCAGCATTAACATTCCTTTGCAGCCGAAAATGTCTTACAGAACGAATGGTATATGGTTTATATTACGCAAACAGGCTTAAGTAGAACTCATCCGAGTAAGTAGTTGTTCGATGTCACTGGAAATTGTATGTGCTGATGCTTTTTTGGGATTGGCTCTGCATTTGCGGTTAATTATACTTACAAAGATTTTGTGTGGCATATCCGGAATTAATATTAATGATCTGCGATGGCAATCAACCCAAAGCTGAACTTCATTTGCATAAGGAAGTGCATAACCGTCAATTGAGACGAATTGAGAAGAAGGAAGTGCGGAGATGATGATTTTATAGGGGAAAGAAACAAAGTTCAACGGGTGATGGATTGTAATTGTATTTAAAAAAAATATGTTAAATATATGTGAATGAAATAAAATGAAAGTTATAAATAGTATATACTTTTTATATTTACTTTATTTTGTACTTTGATTAGTATTAGTATTTGCACTTGAATTTATGTGGGTAATGCATTTATTAAGCTATTTAAAAAGTGATTTCTTAATAAATCAAGTTTTCAATAAAATGCATTATTATTCTGTTTGCATACATCCCCAACATTTCCTAGCAATAAAAATTATTCAAAACTCCAAAAATTGATATAATTATTTATTGCAACTTCGATTTTCAACAGGTAAACGAAGCTCTCGAAATTCCGTTTGTTATTTATTGAATTCATAACTCAGACGAGTTTCTATTCCAACGGACAGGATTTATGTGATTTGTAGGCAGAATTTACAAGCATTGATTGAACAAAACTCTCACGCACACACTTCGGGCCATATAAAATGCGGCTGACAGACGTCAGAATGGAGAAATGCGTAGATAACTACTGGGAAATCAAAGCGATTTTTCCCCCCCTCCAACTCGAGAGTATTTCATTTCAATTGTTTTTCGGATTTTTCCCGGCGTAGCCTGCATATTTCGTACCATCACCCATAACCAATTATTTGCCAACACTCTTCTCATGTCCCGAACATCCTGAACAATCGGAAATGCAGTCAAGGGTGCCGTTTCCATGGCCATTGCCGTAATTATAGACATTTTTGCCAGCAATTGTGCTACAAATTTAATGGCTGAATCTACCTGAATTGCGTATGCAAAATGCGAAATTTATGGCTGCCACCTTTGTGAAATCTTTTACCGATTTTGTGGTTTTGTTCGACTCCAGTGATCATTCAAGCAAATGATTCCGATCTTTTTCACCCTCCTCGCCAACTGGAAATAATAATCCCCCCGATCAACTATAGGATATATAGTAAACGAGGAGATTGAGGAACTTTGGCCAACGTTTGTGTAATCCCTTAATGGCCAACTATAAGTGCACAAAGCTTAGGGGCCAACTGATAAATTTCCACTCATTATTTCTTCTATCTATGCCTAATCCATTGTGTTTAACCGATGACTAAGAACTCGCATTTGTTGTGGCAGCCAAATAAGGAACGAAAATAAAACGATGCTTTATCGAGAGATGTCTCTATCTAAAATTAACTTTGAGAGCAAAGATTAAATGTTGTATGGAAAAAGCATAAACAAGACAAGTTGATTGACACAGGGATCTTAAATATTTAACACATTATAGATACTGACAAAAATTAAAAATTAATTTTATATTTGCGCTACAACTGTAATATATAAATCGATTTTAATCACAGTTAATATTTATATAATGATATTTTTATGAATTTCCTCATTGACTTGTTTATTTATAAACCAGATTTCCCACTCATCTTTTCTTAAGCATTGTTTAACCTATTTCCCATATCTGAAAATGCGTTTTTCCTCGATAGGCCATCAACGCATCTGTAAGATGCGCCGAAGAGTATCTTTTCTTGTTGACTTGCTAATGAAAGCAAATGCATATGATTAATTACAAGGGAGTCTCTGTCCCTGTGACAGCAACAACAAATGAGCATTTTTATGTTGTATAGTATGTGGTCTCAACCCCTCGACTTCCCCGCATTTTTAAAAATAACATCAAAGCAAACAAAAGGCCAGTGAAAATATGAACTGCAAACTGCAAGCGATTTGGTGAAGATGCAGGGAAAATTGGGAAGTGTGTGTGTGTGTGTGTGTGTGTGTGTTGCGAGTGGAAAACCCAAGGCACTGATGAAAATCTTGGCGACAGTTGAAAAGTTGAACAGTTGTTGTTGTGTTTCTGTTTCTGTTTCTGTTATTATTGCCTTTGGGGAGATCGTCTCATTGGCATGGGCCAACTTGTTTCAGCCACATCTTGGTCCTCGTCTTCGTCTTCGTCCTCATCTTCATTTTCATCTGACGACTGTCTGGCTGACAGGCGACTCCACGTTTGACGTTTGACAGTCGACACTGTCCAGGAAATCTCCGGGGGAAAAGAGCCAAGGTGCAGCGATTTTATGGAGATGGAAACGTGAGACCCAAAGTGATGTTCAAGCTAACGCAAATACCCCAGAAACTGTGTATAATTGCTTTAAAGTATGTAATATTGGTTACCAGGAAGGATAATCAAGATAGTCAGAAGACTCAATTCAGTAAAACTCTTCATTAAAATAATATTATTCAATGGTGAAAATTAATAGGGATATAACAAAAAATATCAAGTAAAAATTTGTTTAAAAAGAATTCAGTAAAACTCAATACTAATATAAAAAAAGACTCACAAACCTAATTTCAGAAAACAAATAGGTTAAAGTTTTAAACAACGATTACATTTCTTATGCTTTAATTTTCTTTAAGAACATTCTTACCTGGAATTTTATATAAAACTAAAATGGATTTGTGTGCGGCCTATTAAGCACCTGTCGCTTTTGTTCTTGTGAAATGCCAATCAATTTCTAGCGTGAGTCACGCTCCCATTACCAAAAGGCAAACCAGACGACACTTTTGCTTCCTTTTCAACGTTTTATTTTATTTTATATACATTTGTTTTTTGTTTTTTGTTAGCGGCTGCCAAATTCCGATGGCGAGATGTCGAGAGATGGCGATGGTGAGATGGCAGCATGCAAATTGCGAATTGCGAACTGCGGATTGCAAGGGGGCCAACGCACAAATCGAGTTGTCGTAAAATTAGCACTTAATGCTTTAATTAATTACTAAGACGTGCGATGCGGGAATCGAGCCGAAGTTGTTGTTGTTCCCGTTGATTGTTGTTGTTGCTGTTTCTGTTGCTGTTGTTGTGTGTGCGCGGCATTTAATGCATTTCGCATTTATTTATGGCCATTGGATGCGCGTAACTCAACGATTCCCATCCTCTTTTTCGCCCGGTGTCTCATGTTTGGCCACGTCAAGTGTCAGGCCATTTCACCAGAAAGCCAGAAAGGCCTGGCGATTCGAAAATACGAAAATACAAAAGACTAAAATATACATATACCATACCCGCAATGCGACGGAAAAGAGAGATATTCATTGGGCATCTCACGCAAATATTTCACACTTTCACAAAAGGGCAAATCTCCCTTTGTGATGTCGCCTTTATGAATGGACTGTGTTTTCTGGCTAAAGATATTGCGGTTGCAGTTTTGTATTGGCCTGAGTTGTATGCATATTGTCTTATCTGCGGATGCTGACTTGAACAAGCTGCAATTTGGCTTAACTGAAAGCCTTGCAATGACCTGAATTCGTACTTTGTTTTGTCAAGTCAAACAAGTTCTTTAGACTTTGACTTATATTAATTGTTATATTTCTTATGACCTCTTCGACTTTAGTTAAATCTTAAAAATATAAAAATAAAGTAAAATAGATTTTTAAAACCGATATAATATACAAGAAAATATAAGATTAGCTAAAAGTTGTTTATTTATGTTTCATATTGTCTATAAATACATAAAATCAGATTGTGGGATAAATAAACTATTTTAGTAAAGGAAGTGAAATTCGTTATTTACATATCATCTTTTCCAAATTTTACTATTTTTAAATAAATCCACATGAGATCCTCTGACTTCCCTTGAATCGATCAATTAAAGAGCGATTCAGACTGGGCCCCATCCTTCGATGATGATGATGATGGATGATTGGATGAATTGATAAGGGCAAATGGCGAAATGGTGTATTTGTTGCTGGCCATTGTGCGGTGGTCCACTCATCTGCGATATGGAAAGCAGCTACAGGTATTGGAATACCATCTTATCTTAACACCCCGTCTTGACCCCAAACTCATTGTCATTGTCAACATATTGCTATACGGCTATTGTGGATGTGCGGATGCCAAGGCATGTGATTCATTCATTTGCCACAGTAATGCCCTCAAAATACAATTTATCTGGCTTGGGGGATTTAGACATTGGCAGACAGACACAGAGCTACAGATACAGAGATACAAAGATACAAAACCGCATCCGCACCCACCGAAAATCCTTTTCGGCCACTTGACTCATTAGGCGCGTATTGATACCGGACCCACTGCATCATCATCATCGTCATCATCATGGGCATCATCACGGGCATCATCCTGGTTGGATCTTCTGGTGTTTGCATGATTTGCATTAATTTGGCAAATGTTGTCGATACCGGACGCCGACGATAAGCGCTGACATGACCAGATCCATTTGGTCATTAATTAGCCCACCAGCTTTCCATTCCTCCTCTGTGTTTTGTGTTCTTGCCCACATGAAAGCCATGACATTGCATAATAAATTACCAATTCATTTCAGATTTTGCACGTTCTTCGACTGCCGCTGCCGTTTCTCCTGTTTTGGTTACACATTTGATGTGCTTTCACGGAATCGGGAAAAAAGCGAACAGAGAAATCCGCTAAAGACTGCCTGTTCAACAAGTAAAAGGCATCTCTGGAGATTTTCTATTAAAAAACATCATTTTATGGGTATTTCAATAACATGCAACAAGTGTGGGAAGAGTTAAGGTACAATATTATTTTTTTTTTATGCTTTCTTAACTTCTTAAATAAAACCTAAATAAAATAACGTATTTTTAAAATATAAGCTCTTGACATTTTTTTATTACATGTAAGAATTGATCATGCCTAATGTCTAACAAATTAACTTACTATAACAACTTCTAAATTCAATAATGTACATTAGATACAAGTTACCCAATTAACCGCATTCAGGGTGTTTCCATAAAAAACCGACTT